ATCCAGGCTGGGGGGTTCCGAGCTTTCCCGTTGCCGTGCGTTTCCCGTTGTCCCCCCCCCACACCCTGCCGCCCTTGCAGCCCCCCCCCACTGCGAGGCCGGCAGCAGCACCATGAGGGAGAACTTCGATGCCCTGCTGGCCCTGGGTAAGGCTCTGCTGCCCGCTGCGGGCTGTGCTCCCGTGCCCCGCACCCAGCGACTCAGCAGGGTGGCGGCACGGCCCTGGTACCTCACGGCGCGGGTCCCGTGGTTTCCCGTGGCTCAGCTCAGCCCCGTCCTGTGCAGGCGTTCCCATCGCCAAAACAGAGCCGGTGCCGCAGGCGGAGGAGCCGTGTGCCGGGGCGCAGCTGGAGGACGGCGAGGCACCGGGCTGTGCCGGCTCAGGTGGGTGCCGGGGCTGTGGGCGAGCGCCCGTCCCTCAGCGGGGTCTGCGTGGGGCCGGGGCAGCGCACAGCACTCAGCTTTACCGTGTATCCCCCAGCGAGGCTGCTGGTGCCCAAGGAGGAGGTGCTGCCGGAGGGTGAAGCCGATGGCGGTGGTGCCGCAGGTGCCACGCAGGGGCCGGAGCTCGGCTGCTCAGGTGAGGGGCTGTGTCAGCACGCGGCACGCCGTGGCTGACGAGCTGGTCGCGGTGGCGGCCGCTTGGCACCTGAGGCGGCGCCGCCTTTCCTTGGCGTGGGACACACTGGCAGCGCTCTGTGCCCACAGAGGACTGGCTGGTACGGAAGGTGAAGGTGGAGGAAGAGGATGAGGAGTGGGCGGCCGGGCTGGGCGCTGAGGCCCTGTTGACGGGGCAGCCCCTGGGCAGCGCCTGCAAGCCGGAGCCAATGGAGGAGCCGGAGGAGCCGGGGGAGCTGGGCTACGGCACGCTGCCCGCCTTCACGTGGCCGCTGCTGGGCGAGGGTCCGGCCGGCGCCTGCCAACACTGCTGCTGTGCGGCACAGTGCGGGCAGTGCGTGCCCCCGGACCCCGCCCCGCCGCGGCCCTTCGCCTGCGCGCAGTGCGGGAAGGGCTTCGGCAAGAAGGCGCACCTGACGCGGCACCTGCGGGTGCACACGGGCGAGCGGCCCTATCCCTGCGCGCAGTGTGGCCGCCGCTTCCGCCAGAAGATCCACCTGCGCTCGCACCAGAAGACGCACACGGGCGAGCGGCCGTTCCCCTGCTCCGAGTGCGGGCGGCGCTTCCGCAAGAAGACGCACCTGGTGCGGCACCTGCGCACCCACACGGGCGAGCGGCCCTTCGCCTGCGCGCTCTGCGGCCGTGGCTTCGCCCACAAGCAGCACCTGCTGCGGCACCAACGCCTGCACGCCGAACCGCCCGCCGATGCCGAGCCGCCCGCCGACGAGAAGCCCTTCCCCTGCCCCGAGTGCGGGAAGAGCTTCAGCTGGAAGAAGAACCTGACGTCGCACCGCCGGCTGCACCTGGAGGGGCGGCCCTTCGCCTGCGCCGAGTGCGGCCGCGGCTTCAGCGACAAGCGGCACCTGACGGCGCACCTGCGCGGGCACATGGGGCTGAAGCCGTACGCCTGCCCGCACTGCGACAAGACCTTCAGCCACAAGCCCAACCTGGCCACGCACCAGCGCACGCACACAGGCGAGCGGCCCTTTGCCTGCCCCGACTGCGGCCGCGGCTTCGCCCACAACCAGCACCTGCTGCGGCACCTGCGCGTGCACACGGGCGAGCGGCCCTTCGCCTGCCTGCAGTGCGGGCGCTGCTTCAGCTCCCGGCCCAACCTCATTGCCCACACCAAGGCACATGCCGGCGCACGCCCCTTCACCTGCGAGCAGTGCGGCCGCGGCTTCAGCCGCAAGTCCCACCTGGCGCGGCACCAGGCGGTGCACACCGGCACGCGGCCCTACGGCTGCTCCCAGTGCGCCAAGCGCTTCAGCTCCAAGACCAACCTGGTGCGGCACCAGGCCGTGCACACCGGCCACCGGCCCTACATCTGCACCCAGTGCGGCAAGAGCTTCAGCCGCAAAACCCACCTGCTGCGCCACGAGCGCACCCACAGCACCGCACCTGCGCCGCAGCAGGGCTGGGTGGCACCGGAGCCGGCCCCCGCCACGCTCTGCCCCTGAGCACCGTCCTGCATCAGCACCGCAGGTGGGCGAAGGATCTGGTGGCTCCGGTGTGGGATGGGCGCTGTTGGTGCTACTTGGGACCCCAGGAGCTGTGTTGCATTGTGGCACAGGTGGGGACAGAGCCGATGTGCTCCTGTGGCACAGTGGAAGGTGGCAGCTCCCTCCGGGCACGGCGATGCTCTCAGCCGCCCTTTCCGTGCATGCTGGATGTGGGCTTGGTGTGGGCTCAGTGCCGGTGCAGCCCCTCTCCATGTGGGGTGCAGCTCAGTGGCTCCGGTGCCCTGACTGCAGCACCGCTGGTGACTCTTGTGGGCTCCCACCCTGCCTGGGCATGGCCGGCTCCACTGTGGCAGAAACCAGTCCTAAATGCCAATAAAATGCCCTTTGCCAAGTTTTCCTTGGGGACGTCGCGCCGGAGGGACAGCTGCACGGGTAGGGGGTGGCACAGGGGACAGGGGCTGATCAGTGTTGGTGCTGAGGGGCAACCAGCATGCAGCGTCCCCAGGGCAGATTCTGGGGGCTGTGTGGGGTCCCAAAGGCCCCCTGGCTGCTGGTGGTGCAGCAGCGGCTGTGTGCCCGAGGGCTGTTTTCCCCAGGTTGTGCGGTGTGCCGAGCTGAATCCGCGCTTGTTTGCTTGTGGAACCGCGAGCGGGAGCTGTGCAGGAGCACACGTAGAATTGGGCTTTTATTGGCACGGGGCAGAGCAGGACGCAGCCCCCGGGTGCAGGATGAGGCCTCGCTCCGTGTGTCACTGCCAGCGGAGCCCATGGTGCGGCCGTGGCTGGGGGCCCAGCTCCGCAGCCCCTGGACTCCGGTTTATCTCCTCTGCAGGGCTGCGGGGCTCCCGGCTGCGTTTCCTGTTATTGCGGTGCGATGCCGGGCGCGATGCCGGGGGGCCGGTGGCCAAGGAAGGGAGGGGGCCGGGGCTGTGCTTGCTGCCGCCCTTCCCTTGGCAGCCGGGCACCTTCCGGCCCCAGGATGGGTGCAGCCCCGGGGGGAAGGGAGGTGCAGAGGCACCACAGTGTGGGGCTGCTGGTAATGGGGGACTGGAGTGGTCGCTTGGGGGCAGAGGGGACATGGGGGGCTGGCCCTGGAATCTGCACCGAGCTGGAGCCAGGGGATGTCCTGCATATACAGGCACTGCTCCTGGGGCTCTGCGACATGCCTGCTGAGCTTGGGAGCAGGGACATCACGCTGGATATGCCGGTTAGAGTGAGGTGTGAGCATGGCAACGTGACCAGGGACACTGGTGATGGCAAAGCTGTGGGCACAGCCGTGGCGTGGTGATGGGACCAGGGACACCGGTGGTGGGCACTGCTGTGGCATGGGGATGTGACCAAGGACACTGGTAACAATGAGACTGTGGGCACGGCTATGGGACAGGAGCATCTCCAGGGACACTCATCACAAGAAGGCTACGTGCATGGCTGTGGCACAGGGATGTGATCAAGGACATCACCTCTGGTGAGCCTGGGGACTGGAGACACTGCTGTGACATCACTCAAGGTGAGTCTGTGTGCACAGATGTGACATGGAGATGTGACCAGGGACTCTGATCGTGGTGAGGCCGTGGGCACAGTTGTAATGCAGGGACATCAGCTCCAACTGCTGCGGGGCTGTGGCCCCCCAGGTGCTCAGTGCCATGGGAGCAGCCTTGGTACCACCGCAGTGCTGCTGCACGCCCACAGCTGTGGGCCTGCGGCTGTTCCCTGGGAGCAGTGCCTGATTGCCCCACGTGCTGTGCCCAGCCTGCAAGAGCCGTGGGAGCTGGAGGACACCAAACACCCTCTGTCCTACCCATCTGTCTGCCTGTCTGTCTGCTACTCCCTTCCTTCCTCTGTCCTGTCCATTCACACATCCCTTCATTCCTCTTCCATCCATGCATGCATGCATCCATCCATCCCTCCACCCATCTACCTGTCTCCCCCTCCTTCTATCTGTCCCATCCATCTGTCTATCCATCCCATCTATCCATCTATACCATCCATCCCCTCACCCATCTGTCCAACTGTCCGTCCGTCCAGGCACCCATTTTCCCTCCCTTCCACCCATCCATCCATCCACCCATCCATCCATCCATCCATCCATCCATCCATCCACCCATCCATCCACCCATCCATCCATCCAACTGCCCCCCCTCTGTCTGTCTGTCCCCCCGCCCCACCGCTCGCGCAATGCCGCTGTGTGCCGGTGCCGTTCGCTCCGCCCGCTGGTCGCCGTGACAACGGGAGGCGGAGCCGAGGGGCCGCTGGGAGCCGCCGTTCGTTGTGTGCGGGTGGAGGGGGGGGGGTGAGAAACGGGGGCACCCGAGAGGGATAGGAGCACAGGGGTGGGCAATCTGTGCGTGTACACGGGGGTCCCACCAGGCTGAGCAACCCGAGCACCTCTCCCGGGGCATCCATCCCTGAGCTTCCATCTGTGAGCATCCCTCCCCAAGCGTCCATCCCAGAGTGTCCATCTCTGAGCGTCCCTCCCCGAGCATCCTTCTGTGAGCATCCCTCCCCGAGCGTCCATCCCAGTGTGTCCATCTCTGAGCAGCCCTCCCTGGTGTCCCCACAGAGCTGTGCTGGTGCACTGCTGGTGCACAGCCCCACAACCTGACATGGAGACACGGGCGGAGAAGGGTGAGGAGGGCGACGGCGCGCGCATCACGGCTCAGCTGCTGAAGGCCAGCACCGGGGAGTTTGCTCTGGAGTCCATCCTGCTGCTGAAGCTGCGCAGCCGCGGCATCGCCGACCTGGGCTGCCTGGGCGACTGCACCAACCTGGAGTGGCTCGACCTCTCCGGCAACGCCATCTCGCAGCTGGGCCCGCTGGCCGGCCTCAAAGCGTTGGCCGTCCTCAACCTCTCGCGCAACCGCATCTCCAGCCTGGAGCCGCTGGGCTCCTGCGAGAGCCTGCAGAGCCTCAACCTGGCGGGCAACCAGGTGAGCAGCCTGCAGCAGCTGCGCTGCCTGGCCGGCCTGCGGCGCTTGGAGAGCCTTCGGCTGCGCGACGCGCTGGGCCAGCTCAGCAACCCCGTCTGCGCCACCGCCGCCTACCGCGCCGCGCTGCCCGAGCTGCTGCCCGGCCTGCGGGACATCGACGGCGAGCGCGTGTCGGGGCGAGGCAGCGAGCTCTTCCAGCTGTGCCGCGACCTCGACAGTTCGCTGGGACGCGGCCCCGGCCCCGCGCCGCCGCGCGCCGCTCAGCCCTGGGTGCAGGCGGGCTTCTGGGAGCCGCCGCCGCCGCGCCGCAGCTCCATCGTGGAGGAGGCGTACCGGCAGTTCGGCGAGGCGCTGCGGGAGTGCCGCGAGTTGGGCCGGCGCGCCGATGACACCATTGCGCAGGCTGAGCGGGCGCTGAGCGGGCGCGCCGACCCTGGATCCTACGTCTTCTGAGCGGCCCGAAGCCGACGAGGCGGCCGTCCCGCTCCGTTCCACGCCGTTCCCGCGTGTGCGGGACGGACCTGCGTGGGCTCCCAGCTCGGGGGCTCCATGGGGACCTGGGATGCGGGGAACGGACTCCCGCCTTCGCACCGACGCTGGCAGGTTTTGGAACTGACCCCAAGCAACCATCCTGCAAAGAGGAGCGCGGACCTGGGGGCTGCATGCGGGGACGGAGGGGATCGTGGGGTCCTGCTGCCGGGGAGCAGCCATGCAGTAAATGTGCTGTCCCTGAGGTCTCTGCTGCTTTGCGCCGAGCCCCTGAGCATCCCTGTCCCTCCTCCATCCCACCAGTGTGCCCACAGAGCGGAGTGTGGCTCAGGCTGGTGGTGGCACAGCCCACCCCATTGCCCCGCACACAGGGATCCTGGGTAGGAACGAAGCAGAGAAACAGAGGCAGAGCTGGGGTTTAATGGTGCATGCAGACACTGCCAGGAGCTGGGGGGGCATTGCGGGACGACCTTCCCTTCACTGCACAGCGCTGAGGGGCAGCAAGCTGGGGGCTGGGGGGCCCCGTGTCAGCATCCTCCTCTTGGGCTGGGGATGTGGTGGCTGCTGGACTGCAAAGAGGGGACAGGGGTGCTGAGAGCTGTTTGCAGGAGGAGCCCGCTGCCTGCAGCTCCCCATGCTCACCCCAGAGGAACATTCCAGGGGAACTTACCGTGCGTGGGCACCTAGGCTGGCAGCCCCTTGGAGAAAGCAAACATGCCAGGCAGATAGAGGGCATCACTCGCCTTGCCAGCCTCCTCCACAGCCCTGCACTCAGCCTCATCACGGTGTTTGATCTCCTGCAGGGCAGAGCACAGGCGCTGGCATCCCTGTAGGATGTGCCGGCTCACAGAGCACCTCTTAGAGCTGAGCCCCCCCTTGGGGAGAGCTCACCTTCACAGCCAAGTGGTGGCTGGGGCCACAGTTGTAGTACTTATCCAGCACCTTGGGGACATCGCTGTTGTCAAACTTGTAGCAGGCCAAGCAGGCTGGCTTTCTCTGTGGAGACAATATGGCCATCACCACCGGTGCCAGCACCCAGACCCCACCACCAGCCCTGGGGACATCCCCCGCACCCCTGGAGCATGGCCGTGTTCATCACCCCCAGCACCAGCAGCCCTGCTGGAGAGGACGGGCACATGGCAACCAGGGCAGGAGGGAGGGAGAAGGGCTGAGACCACCCTTTCCCCATGTCTGGAGATGGGGGTGCTGGCTTGGGGGGTGCAGCCCCCACCTCACCCTGTTCTCCATGATCCTGCAGTTCTGTCTCCTCTGTGTCTGCTTCCTGCATGCTGTCTGTGCAAGGTTAAGGCGCAGCTGGACGAACGTCCCTGATGAGTCCACCTGGTGCAGGAGAATTGTCCCATGAGAGGTGTGGGGGGATGGGCTGAGGGCTGTGCCTGGCTCACCAGAGCTCATCACAGGATTATTGGGGTGCCCATGGAGTGAGGAGCTGCTGCAGTGCCTTGGGATGGGCAAGGATGAGATGGCACCACACCCGGCCCCAGCGTGCCAGCAGGACCAGGAGTAGGGATAGAGGGACCCCAGCCCCCAAAAGTGACCCCAGTCCCAAAAAGTAACCCCAGGCTCTGCAGCAAGGCTCCCAATCCTCAGTATAAACCCACCCTACAGCCCTCAGCTGCCTGCTGGGGAGAGGACAGGAACGGGACGCCGTGTCCTGCCAGGGGACAGCGGGGCACCAGGCGCTGTTCAGTCCTATCCACAGTGTGGTTAATGAGTAGCTGAGCCCCATGCCGTGCCAGCAGGCACCACCGTGCCAGCCCACCGGGGACCCGTGGTGCTCTGCATCCCCAGCAGTCACGCCATGCCACCCCCATCCCCCATTTGGTGACAGCTCGCCCCTGACCCCACACAATTCCACAGCCGCCCTGGCGCAGGATGAGGGCCCCCGTGCCTCCCCAGCACTCACTCTCTCGATGGCCCCTTCCACCGACTGCTCCCTAAAGAGGTACTGGACGTTGCTGCGGCTGTGGAAGTAGTCCAGCACATCCTTCACCACGCGCCGCTGCAGCGGGCTCTGCCCAGCAGCTGCCAACGCCAGCACGGCCACGGCGATGCCCAGCAGCCACTTCATCCCCGCCGCACAGCCTGGCCAGCCTGCTGCCCACCACCGCTTGTTGATTTTGGTCTCTCATTAACCAATTTCCTGGGAACTGCCCCTTTCCGCCCATCGGACGGCCCTGCACAGCCCCCGCAGAGGAGGGGCCGCAGCGGTGGCCAGAGGCGCGCGGGGACGGATGGCGGCAGCCTTGACCCCATCGGCAGCTCCGTCCCCAGCACAGCAAAGCCCAGTGGGGAGAGGGGAAGGGGAGCAGAGATAGAGCAGAGGGCTGTCCTCGAGCAACACAGCAGCGATCGCTTTGGGGCTGCTGGGGGCCCCCAGACTGGGCCCCAAGGTGAGGACGGAATGGCAAACAACAGCCCAAAGCCCCCCACTCTCAGGAGCTCTGCAAGCAGCAGTGCACAGAGTTGGCACTTTTGGGGCACTTTCTGGGTTCTGCCATTCTGAGCACACCCATGGTTTACAGTTTTTCTCCACTTTTGGCTGCTTTCCGTAGAGTTTTTCTGGACTGAAAGAGCCAGGTTTGTCTCCGAGCCAGCAGCGCTTTCTTCCAGCACTGTGTGCAGGTTGGGCATCACAGCAGAATCACAGAATGGCCTGGGTTGCAAAGGAGCACAGTGCTCATCCAGCTCCAACCCCTGCTATGTGCAGGGTCACCAACCAGCAGACCAGGCTGCCCAGAGCCACATCCAGCCCGGTCTTAAAAGCCTCCAGGGATGGGGCATCACAATACAAGGCCTTAAACCCATCAGAGAGCACCCATGGGGGGCTGTGAGGATGGGGTAGGGTTGCAGGGCAAGGTGGGGACCCAGCAGCCTCACTGGGCCCAGCATCGAGTCCAACCTGGCTCCAGACAGGGCAACACAGGAGTTACACCTTGCACAGACAAGCAGTGTCCAAATACAGCAGCTCAGTGCCAACCCCTGATGGACCCCTCCTCTGCTCTCTGAGAAGGACAAGAGGCAAGCAGGGAAATCCAGGAACAGCACAGGGCCTCATTCCTTCTGCTGGGGAAATGCTTGCATCCTTCACCCCAGAGCAGTGTGTCACTGTGCAGGCAGCTGGATTGTAGGGAAATTAATTGGCTGACTTGTTTTAACCACTGCTGTGGTAGAAACAAGACAAGAAAGCCTTTTTTTAATAAAGTTAAGACCAAGAGGAGGCTGAGGGGGGGAACCTATGGCATTGTCAGCCAAGAACTCTTCATAGGTGTACCCTCACACACAGCAATTTGTGCTTCTATGCAGGTCAGGACAACCACCCTCAAAACTGCCAACGTGATTAAGTAGAGGAAGTCTTAATCACAACACGACTAAAGTTGTCCTTGAAGGTGGGTGCTATTGTCTGCAGTGCTGGGCAGTGGATGAAGTGGGTGACGGGGACTGAAATGGGAACTTGGAATTATAATGCAATTCTGTAATTCATGTCACACTGTTGTTGTGTAGCTGAGTGGGATGAAATTCAGCATGTTGATTTCTTTGTGTTACAAAAGGGTGACGATATCAAATGGAAAGGTAAGTTGGTGGAAAGGAGCTTGGGGGCTAATGATGAAACAGCATCAATACTTAATAATATAAGGGGTACAACAAGGGGGACCCGAATTGCTCCAAATCACAGCAGGTGACACAGGGCCCAGCCAAGGAGCTGATCACGTTATGGGCTGAGCTCCACCTGGAAGGGGAAGGGAATAAAACTGTGTTGTTGGATGCATTGTTCATTGGGCAGTCAGCCCCGAAATCTGGGAGACACTGCAGAAAGATGATGGGATTTTGGGGATGTCTGCTTCACGATTGAGTGAAATGATCTATGGGATAAATAACAATGGGGAAGTAGGAAAGGAACGAAAAGAGAAACCCAGCAGCAGCAGAATGCAGCCAGGCTGCTATAATGCAAGCCACAAGCTGAGGAACAAGAGGAACATTTAGAGGTCTCAGGGAATTCAGTTATTGTCTTCTTAGCAGATACCAGAGCTACTTCTCCTGTTGTAAAGTGTTGAAGGAAGTGCTGAAGTATTCTGCGCTGGTAGCTGGGGCCACGGGAAAGCAAGAGGTTAAACCTTTTTGCAACCAAATAGATGTGAAAGTGGAAGTTAGATTTTAACTGGTGAGTTTTTGCATATGCCAGAATGCCCTTCACCTCTCATGGGATGGGATTTGTTGAACAAATTAGAGCTCAAACAACTTATGATAAGGACAAAATGTGGCTACTTTAATGGTGTGACGTTACAGATGCTGGCACTGTTGTGTGTGTGAAGCTATATGGGAAGAAAGTAGGTTACTATCATCTCAAGGCAATCCTACACAGTACAGTGCAGAAATTATGGGATTACTTGATGCAATTATCAAACCAAGAGTTTGGTGGTTATTCACTGCAAGGTCCACCAGTCCAACACGCCAAAGTCATCAGCGGGAAGAGAGGAGCAGATGAAGCTGCCAAGAAAACGTCACTGTCAGTAATGGGGAGCCCCACTTCCTGAGACATTCCAAAGTATTAAGACTCCTGTTTGTATGAAAACACAGGGTGAGTTATCAGGGCTGTTATCAGAGCTGTTAAGGTGTGCTACAGCAGCTGAAGGATGGTGGGCAACACCTCATGGACAGTGAGTAGTGACCCCTCCAAGAGTGAGAGAGTAAATGGAAAGGACACACAAGAGTACTCAGATGGGGACAGAAGCTCGTGCTGAAGCAGTAGGAAGACATGCTGCAGGAATCAATATGTTATTAACTGCTAAAAGTATTGTCCAGAGGCACAGGATTTGTCTTATAACCCTAAAATTAAGACTAGCTCTTCCCCAGTTGAGTTAAAAAGAGGTTCTGTATGCAGGGAATATCGGCAAATGGATTTGTTTTCTGAATTACTGAAGTGTAATGAGAGTAAATATCAGTATTGGCTGACACCTTTCTGGGTGCTCTGAGGCACTCTTGTGCTGAACCAGCAAAGCATGAGAAATGCTCAGAGTTTTACTGGAAGAAATAATTATGGCAGGATTTGGCATTCCAGGAGGACTCTCATCAGATAGAGGACCTCATTTCATAGCAGAAATCACCCACGGAATATCTGGGCTCCTGCAAACAGAGTGGGACTCACATAACTCATGGAGACAGCAGTTGAGAGGTCAGCTAGAAAGAAGGAACCAAACATTAAAAAGGCAGACTGGAAAATTATGTCAAGAAAAACATTTGAAGCAGGTGGAAATTCTCTTTCTGGCATTGCTGAGAACTCAGGCAACCCCCAGAGTGAGGGAATGAGTTGGTCCTTCTGAAGTCTTGTATGGGAAACCGTATCCTACAAATTTGACTGGAAAAGGCGATCAGATGCACGTGGCTGGTGAGCAAATACTGAGTATCTCTTGTCTTTGGCAAGACTTCTTCCTTCCCTCCACAGATACGTGCAATTAAGTGCTCTAGGAGCTCTGGACGTTCCTTTAAGCATAGGGACCGAGGGCATCTCTGACCTTGGAACAACAAACCTTGGGCCCAGAGAGGGACAGGATCCGGTACTCCTAGCAACAGACACGGCAGCAAAAGGGATTGACTCGCAGGTTCACTGCAGCAGGACAAAGGCAGAGCCACGGGAGAGCGGGAGAGATGGCTTTCCTGAGGATAAAAATCAAAAGAAACACAGCAAGTGCACTTGGAGCAGCTTCAACGCCTGCGCAGGGCCGGGCTGCGCGCCGCGGCTGCGCTCCTTGACTTTGCGACCCCAGCTTTACCCCTCCTACCCTTCGTTTGTGTGTGTGAGCGCACAGAGCTCCCTACAGAAGTAAATGAAGAGCAGCGAGGGCTGATCCTGCGCTGCCTTGGGGCGAGGCGGACAGCTGGGGGTGGCGCGGGAGCTATGGGATCGGTGGGCCCAAAAGGGCTCATAGAACCACCCAGCAGACGCTGGGGTTGATAAGGGGTCCCCGAATTAAAGCTCATCCGAACCCGGGACACATCTGTGCGGATCCCCTGAAAGCAAACTGAAACTCCCGTTAGTGGTGGGCAATGGGGGGGGGTAGGGGGTGGTGAGAGTGGGACGCTCTGACCCACTTCCGGTATTCTATGGTAGCACTTCCGGGTGCTCTGGCAGTGCTCTGATGTCTATAGTGCCGCGCGCTACTTCCGCCCCCGCCCCGGGGCCTACGAGTGCCGCCGCGGGACACGCCCGCTGAGCCGGAAGTGCGGGGCGAAGAGTTCTCGCGAGACTGCAGGAGAGCAGCGTCCGCCTTTTCCTTCCCATTCCCCCCCCCCCGCAGTCGCGCGCGCGCCTCCCGGCGTCGCCGCCGCGCTGACGTCACCGCCGCGTCTACGTCAGCGCGTCGCGGGACGCCGGCGGCCGTGAGTTCCCCCGGGGAGGCGGCCCGGGGCCGGGGGGGAGGGGGGCGTCGCCATGGCAACGCGAGGGCCCGGCCGGGCCCAGGGTGAGGGGGGCGGGCCGGGGGGCGGCGAGGCCCCGCTGAGGAGAGCGGGAGGGGGCCGGGGCGGTGGCCGGGCTCCGGGAGGGGTGGGGGGCAGCGACTGTGCCCGGTGCGGGCCGCCCCGGGGCCCTCCGCAGGCCGCCCGTAGGATGAGGCCCGGCCTCGCCCGCTTTGCCCCGGGGGAGCAACTGAAGGCCGCGCCGCGAGGATGGGCGCGCTGAGGAGATGTCGTGTGGGTGCCCCCACCCCGCGGCACCGAGGCCGAAACGCGGGCATCGGCCTCGGGGCCGTCGTGAACGAACTTCTGCTACGCTTCAGAACTCTCTTCTCCATCTGTCCCAAGGCCGAGACGTCTACAAGCAACGTGGAGAGCAGGCCTTGAGGCCTGGAGGCTTGAAGAGCAAGGGGGAAGGCAGGAAGGCAGACAAAAGGCCTCAAAGCCTTCAGACCGAAGAGAGATCTCAAGGCCAAACAGGGCTGGTAGCACGCAGGGAGGCCAGGGGGTGCAGGTGTGTAAAACCAAGAGGATGGCCTGGAGGCCTGGAGAAAGGCCACAGTCCAGCCAAGAGACCTAGAGGCATGCAATCCCAGAGGTAGGTCTTGTACAAGGCATAGAGACTTATAGAGATCAATAGACCTCGAGTTTAAGAAGCTATCCAGTCTAATTTTGAGAGGCAGACACATCTGCCTGGATACTTAGAGGCTTGCCAAGAGGCCTCAAAGCCCCACAAAGCAGTCCTGAACAAAGGGATCCCAGCCCCTACCCTCATTGCACTCACCTCTGCTGGGCTGGTCCCCTTGTGATGGTTGATACCTGATGGACGTGGCTAAGAGTATCGCGGTGTCACAGTGTCTGACTGGCAGTGCCCACAGCATACAGAATTTCTGTGCTCTTAGCTGAGTGGCACAGTCAGGTGCACTCAAGGACCCAGAGTCATTAGTTACAGCAAACTGCATAAAGCAGCCCAACCTTCTTTCACACTGAACCACTAGTACTCTCAGCAGCAGATCTCCCCAAATAGCTCTCCTAATTAGGGATAGTGCTTATCAAGACATCCCCAACACAGCTGGGGCTCAAGAGAATGTATTTCCTTGTAGTAATTGTGGCCCTGCAGAGCTGGGGTAACCAATGGGGTAACCGTTGAGCAGGAACAGAGTCACACACCCACCTTGCACTATTTCCAGTCATGCTCTTGTTTGCTCATAACGTGGTGTTTTCATGGATGCTCACGTGGTGTTTTCACACAAAGCCTCACAAGGACTCGGGTTTCTCACCACAGGCAGCACAGATGTGGGGTCCAGGAAGTACTGAACGTGAGACGTTGTTGTTCTGCTGCAGCCCTGGGCACTGCTTGGGGACACTGCGGTGTTGCCTTGGATGCTGGGCAGCTGGCTGGAAACGTGAAGTTTCCCAGGCTGTGAGATTGCAGTGGGTTCTTGATGCTATCGTGTTCCATATTTATCAGCATTGCTTTTGAATTAAGTGTCCTGTGCTAGCCGAGCCAGGGCTTGGACATGTGTAAACCCTGGAGTCTTTGTAAAGTGATGTGGGACTCATGTGGGAGCACTGTGGTTGTCACCATGTCCTCAGGGACTGTGTCGTGTTGGGTTGCCACTGGAGGAAGCAGTGAGCCCTGTGGCCCTTCAGCAAAAGCAGATGTATTTTTTCTGTCTGAGGCTTTCCTAAAACCAGCATCAGCCCGTGAGATGGAGTGAAGGCTGCTCAGCTTGCAGCTGGGCATGCCTTGCAGCTGGGGCACGCAGCATTGGTGCCAGGCTCTGGGCAGAGCGAGTCTGGCCAGGCATGGCCGCGTTCCGCGGGGCCGTTCAGCTGCGGCCTCCCCCTCCCTGCGCCTACAAATCCCAGCAGCACCACGGGCTGCGGGAGGCTGCATTGTAAACAGAGGCTCTGAACTCAGGCCAGACCCCGCCGCTGGCTCCTTCCTTTCCCCTCGGAGAGCTCGGAGGAGGAGGAGGGTCCGGGTGCCCGCCCAGCCGCTCCCTGCTGCGCGCCGCTCCGTGCCGCGCTCACACTGCTCTGCTCTCGCAGGGACCCGCAGCCATTTGGAGGAAGTTGGGGAAGCTCCAAACCGGCACTGGAAGGTGGAAGGAGAGGACAGCCGCCGCCCCGCATCACCCCGAGAGTCTGCGTCCCCCCCGTGTGCCATCTGGGCCCTGGGGGAACCATGTCTGCGGGGGGGGCTCCTCAGGTACGGTGGGGCGGTGACGGGGCGTGCTCCATCCCTGAGGGCCGCTTGCAGCACACTGCGGGGGGGAGCTGAGCTGCTGATCCTCTTTTGTGCTGCAGCGCTTCCATGGTGGTGGCTTTTTGGTGGTTTCCCGGGGGCTGGAAACCCCCCTGGTGGTTTCTTGCTTTTCTTGTCGTTTAGAAAGGCTGTAACCCAAGGAAGCACCGCTAGTCCTGTGCAAGACTTTTCCTTTTAAATTGTCACTTCTTGAAGTTGTGACAGTCATCGGAGCGCTGGCTGGTCTCAGTGCCTCGTGCCATCTGTTCTCCTTGTGTTCCTGCCAAACTGCAGCAGAGCTCTGAGGGAGGAAGAGAGGAGTCCTGGGGAGGGAAGGTGGGTGGGATGGGTGCTGAGCTCTGCAGGAGAGATGCTTTGGGCTCCTACAGAGGTCTCCTCCTCTGGTCCTGACCCTGGGTTGGTTGGGAAGTGAGGCTCAGCGGTCACAGCTGCAGGTAGCCTGGGTGGATCACCCCAGGTCAGGAGGGTGGCGGGCACGGGGCATTGGCCCAGAGCAAGCTCCTCTTGAGGATCTGTGCTAGGCAATGTTCTGCTGTTAGGGAAGCTGAGGCAGCTGTGTTGTACTGAAACAAGTCAGGCACAGTGGGAAATATCACAGGGTCCCTGTGACACCTCCTAGCACCCGGCTCCTGCACGAGAGAAAGGCCAAAGAAGCACTCAGGGTGCCAGGATGCTGCCAAGCACTTCTGTGCGTGGTGAAAACCCAGAGAACAGAGAAAACCAAACCGAGCCAAACCAGAAAAGCGATGGCCAGCTGCTGAAACACCTCTCCTCTCTCCTGGAGCAGCCTGCCCACATCCTGAACCTGCTGCCTTACCCCAGGCTGAACGAGGTGCCCAGGGCTGGACATGAACTGGGTTCTGCGGGTGCAGAGATCCCCTCTGACCCCTGCACAGGTGAGGGCTCAGGGCTGGTGGGGGCTCACCCACAAGGGAGTGGGTCTGGTGCTGTGTTTCTGCATTTTCTGGAGTGCAGTCGGTGGAGGGGCTGCAGCAGGGCTGGAAGGAGCAGAGGGGGGAGTAGAAACCATACATAAATGTGTGCAAGTGTGGCACCCAGGGAGGAAACCCCCCACCTGCGCTGCAGCCACTCTGGCAGCGGGGCTCCTCTTATACAGATGTAGCCTTTTCTTCTGTTTGGGAGGTTCTTGTTGTAATTAATTGCATTTTTGTGGTAGCCTTTGAAATCCTGTCATAAAAGCATCAGGTAAGATCTGAGGATACTTGGGCGAGTTTGTGAAAGACTTTGGAAAGAACATTGTTTTCCGAGGAACAGTGTTCTCTCTCACCTTTCACTGGAGCACACGTTGCCAGGAGGAGGGAGCGTGGAGCTTGTATTTCTTTTTATCTTTAATTATGCTTCAGGCAGCAGAAGCTTAAAATAGATGAAAGCGATGCCCTGAGGCTTAGTTAATTTTAGCTTATTTGTGAATTAACGCAGGCATCTCCAGCATAATGATGCGTATGCCAAATGCGTGTTTTGCAGTGTGACAGTTCATGGTGACCAGCTCTTATCCCTTCAACCAGGCTACAGATTTTTCAAGCCCGGTGGCTTGTTCGGTATTAAACAGTCGGAGGAGCCGTTCCCTGAAGGCCAGCAGATGCAGGAGGACAGCAAGATCCTCGTGAGCCCCTGTGCAGGTAGGTGTTGCATGTGTCCTCAGTGCGGCTGCTGGAAATTGGCCTTGGCGAGGGATGATGGTCTTGTTGGAGAGCTGCTTGCAGCCATTTGAGGCCAGCTAATGGGATTTTTTTTGCCATTACTGCTGTCTGCCAGCACTGCACTCACCAAACCATGGGGGAATAGGGCTCTGGAAAGGGTCCTAAACCCCCTGGTTAATTAGGGTGCTTTAAGCCAAGCGAAAGACACTGACGGTAATGCCCTGAATCTTTTTGACATCTAGTTGAGCCTGTCCGAACGAACAAGGTGGAGCAGCCTGATGAGAAGCCCGGGGTTGCTACAGGCTCTCTGGAGCTGTACCCCACTGGTGCCAGCAGCTCCAGCCGCTGGTTCCATGGCGGGCAGCGCGCACCCGAGCGGGCAGGCACAGAGCGGGATGGCGCGGCCGGCCTCAGCCCGTTGCCTTCCAGGGTGGGCTGCTGGGTGCCCCAGCTTGGCAATGGCCCCTTCCGCTGTGCCCAGTGCGGGAAGGGCTTCCGCCAGAAGCAGAGCCTCATCACTCACGAGAGGATCCACACCGGGGAGAAACCCTACAGGTGTGGGGATTGTGGGAAGAGCTTCAGCCAGCGCCCCAACTTGCTGACCCACCGCCGTGTGCATACTGGGGAGCGCCCCTTCCCCTGCACGCAGTGCGGCAAGAGCTTCAGCCAGAAGGCCAACCTCCTGGCCCACCAGCGCATCCACGCAGCCAACGAGAAGGCACTGGCGGGGGGTGAGCAGGAGGACGGTGGCTCCGGCAAACCAAAGCTGCGGGCTACACAGCGCAGCTACCAGGACGACACCCCTTTTGTGTGTCCTGAGTGTGGGAAGAGCTTCCGGCAGAAGCCCAACCTCATCACACACCGGCGCATCCACACGGGTGAGCGGCCCTTCACCTGTTTCCTGTGTGGCAGGAGCTTCAACCAGAAGACCAACCTGGTGACGCACTACCGCGTGCACACCGGGGAGCGCCCCTTCGCCTGCACCCAGTGCGGCAAGCGCTTCACACAGAAAACCAACCTCGTGACACACCAGAGCACCCACACTGATGTCCGCCCCTACCCCTGCGGGCAGTGCCAGAAGTGCTTCAAGGACAAGGTGTCCCTCAAAGCCCACCAGAAGACACATGCTCCACGCCAGCGGAGGTGCCCAGGCCGTGGTCCAGCTCCCACCCTACCCTTCGGGGCTGCACCCACACTGCTGCAGCCAGGCAGCCTGGAGCAGGAGGCTCCTTTCAGCTCCATGCCACCGCTGCCTGTTCAGAAGATCCCTGAAGGCCAGGAACTATACTCGTGCACGGAAAAGGGCTTCCCCTCAAAGGAGCAGCTACTGCCCACACAGCAGGCCCATCTAGGGGAGCAGGCCTTCCCCTGTGTGCAGTGTGGGGAGGGGTTTTGCCCCAAGGTTACTCTGCTCCGGCCGCAGCATGGCCCCACTGCCGAGGCTCCTGCTGGCTGCACTGCAGGCTTCAGCCCCGGCCCGCACCTCCTGGGGCACCTGGGGGTGCAGCCCGTCCTCGGGGACGGCACGACCCCCACACCGCCCACCCCCGGAGCAGAGAAGCCCTTCATCTGCAATCAGTGTGGCAACAGCTTTGGCCTGTGGATCTCCCTAGTTGCTCACCAGAAGACTCACGTGGGGCAGAAGTCCTACCAGTGCCCTGAGCATGACAAGAGCTCTGGAGATGAGCTGTCCACCAAATCTCCCCATGAGAAAGACATGGAGGGGAGAGCCTGGCTGTGCCCTGAGTGCGGAAGAAGTTTTGTGCAGTATGAGCGTTTGGTAAAGCACCGCCAGAACCACCGAGGCCGGGGTCCTTATCGTTGTGACGTCTGCGGGAAGAGATTCAGCTTGAAGACCAACCTGGTGACTCACCAGCGCATCCACACCGGTGAGCGGCCCTTCACCTGCGGCGTCTGCGGCCGCCGCTTCAACCAGAAGGGCAACCTGGTGACGCATTACCGCACGCACACCGGGGAGCGCCCCTTCGCCTGCACCCAGTGCGGCAAGCGCTTCGCCCAGAAGCCCAACCTCATAGCCCACCAGAAGACCCACTCGGGCAGGCAGCCCTTCACTTGCCTTGAGTGCCCCAAGCGCTTCAAGAGCAAGCTTTCCCTCCGAGTCCACCAGCGTGTGCACGTGGTGGAGCGGCCCCAAAGCGAGCCGGGCCCCGGCCAGACACCGCCCAGCCTGCAGAGCCACCCTGGCAGCCCATACCCCTGCTCGCTCTGCGGGGAGTCCTTTGAGGAGCACGGCGAGCTGCAGCTGCACCGGCAGGGCCACGCTGGCGAGCGGCCACACGCCTGTGCCGAGTGTGGCAAGCGCTTCCGGCAGAAGGTGAACCTGGCGGTGCACCAGAGGACCCACACCGGGGAGCGGCCCTTCCACTGTGCTGAGTGCGGGAAGGGCTTCAGCCAGAAGGCTCACCTCCTCCGGCACCGCCGGACGCACACCGGTGGTGTGCCACCCTCCTGCTGCGAGGGGACCTGTCCAGCACACCGCGATGAGCCGGACGCCAGCGCTGCCCTGGGGAAGGGCCCCGCACCGCCTGGCACGCTGCTGCCGCCCTGCTCCCGTGGAGCCGTGCAGGGATCGCTGCCACGGGAAGAGCTCCGGCCAGGAGCACAGCCCGGCCCAAACAGAGCAGAGAGCCCATCCGGGGCCGCAGACATCCTTCTGCAGCTGATGCAGGAAGAGCAGCACCTGGTGTCTGGCTCACAGCACCCACAGGAGGCACCCGCTGGGCAGTGCCCCTGCAAGTGCTCCGAGGGAGGGGAAGGGTTGGGTGGGAAGCCCAGCCTGCAGCCACAGTGCTGCTGCGCCGACTGCGTGACCCAGAGGCAGCTGCTGCTGAAGCCCCAGCATGACTGCCGTGCTGAGATCTGGTGCAAGTACAGTGGCTGTGGAAGAAGCTTTGAGGACAAGAGAGTCCTGAGAGTGCCTGAGAGAGCGCACAGCGAAGAGAAAACCTCGCCGTGCCCGAGCTGCTTGTAACACACCAGCTGCCACGAGCCCACCCAAGCGAGGGACTGTACCTTGTTGTTCTTGCAGTAGGGACACCAAGCCTGGCTAGGTGGGAGCTCATGCCAAGAGCCAACTGCTGACCAACTGCGGACCTGTAAGAGTCTGAGGCAGGGCAGGCTGCAAGTCCAAGCCTGGGGGACTCAGGAGGACTGTGGTGGTTCTTGTGAACAGGACACTTGGCGAGTGAAGCACCCTGGAGGTGGGGTGTGAGATGCAGCAGGTTGGTCATGAGGCAGTGGATGGACTTGGACACAATGCGTGAGCTTTCTGTGTTTTGAACATACCAAATTTGTAAGGCAGGTGGAGCTGAGGAGCAGCAGGTGCTGGATCGTGGGTCTGCAGCACTTCTGCCAGCACCTGCCTATGAAGAGTTAGATTGTGAGGGGTGGGGAGGAGCTCGGGATCCTGCATGCTGACTTAAGGATCGCTTCTGCCGTGCAGGAGGCTGGGCAGAGGCATGTCTGCTGGGGCCTGGCTCCAGGCTGAGCGTTGCAGTCCTGCAACATGCAGACCTGGAGTGGGGCGGAGAGGGGCCTTGGTGGGCTGGGAGCTTCTGCCAGAGCCCTCTGTCCTCATCATCCAGACTGATGTCCCTCCACAAAATGTCTGAGGGCTGGAGAGCTATGCCCTGCTACTGGCTGCCCACCAGCGTGGGCAGAGGAGAAGTAGCTTCGCTGGGGGATGAGTGAGCTGCAGAGGGCGGCGATGGGTCCCTTCCTGCCTCGAGGACCCTTGAGGATCACAGCTAAGTATCTCCTCTGAGCCGGGAGGGGTAATACAGGGTGAATATGGGGGGTGGGGATGGGGAATGTAGCTTCTGCTTCTATACTTGCTCTATGGATAACCTTTCTGATAGCACCTCTTTCTGGTACTCACCTAACTTCTGCATAGATAACCAGGAGTGCCGGGCAGTGGTGTCTGCACTGCCCACTGCTGCGCTCATGCTCGTGGGCGAGCAGTGTGGAGCTGTCTGGCTGGGGCAGGGCTGTGGGGCAGAGCTTTAGGGATGGGAACTGCTGGCCTGGAAGCTGTTCCCACTTGGAAACGCGCTTTGCATAAAAGGGGAAACAAATCTTGCCTGTTGTGCCCAGAGGGGCCAGCTTGCCATTGCTCCCCTCATGCTGTGAGCTGTGCAGCCAGCCCCAGCCCTAGCAGCACACCCCTATCTTGCTTCGCTCAGCTGCAGAGCCTCCTTGCTACCATGGTTTGGCAAAGACCTTCGCTGAGGACATGCGGGATGCTGTTAGTGGTACCTGGTGCGGTGCAGCAATCCTGGGTGCGCTCTGCCTGCCACCACCTCCTCCCCTGTGTTCTGGGGCGTACCTCGGGGCACACCATAAGGGAACACTGCTTGCTGTGCTGTGAGCAAGCACCGCACCGACTGCCCAGCACAGAGGTGGGGTCTCCATTCCTGGAGACGTCCGACACCTAAAGGGACACAGCCTGGGGCAGTGGGCATGGTGGCCCCAATGGGCAGGGATGGAGTGGGTGACAACCAGAAGGGCACACCAGGATGGTCGCACTGGACCTGCATGCTGGATAAGGATGTTTTCCGTTAGCAAAGTGCCCAGCTGGTGGCACGACCATGCGAGGGATGGTGGCATCCTGGCTTGGGGTCCCTGGCTCCATCCCCAGGCAGGGAGTGGGCATTGCTCCCTCCAGCACTCAGCCCCGCTCACCCAGCATCACGCTCCAGCGACATTTCAGGTCCTTGCAACTCTATTTTTTTGAGGTTATTTAAAATAAAAGCTTACTCACAGCAGGTTCCTGCCTCCTCCTTTGTGGGACAGCACTCTGCCCCAGGCCTCGGGGTGGGAGCCACTCGTCCATCCCTGTTGGTGCAGATTATAACCACGTTGCTGACAGAGCTGCCTGCAGAGGCCTTCTTGGCTTTTGCATCTCTTAGCAGAAGTCTCACATAGCGAAGGGGTGAAGGTAGCAGATTGTCAGTAAAGCTGCATTGGATGTGTGGTGCTTTTTAAAGCCGGGACTCTTCCCAGCAGCTGAGCTGGGGCTGCCCCTCATGGGGCTGTGCTTTGTTCTCCCCATCATTTCCCACCAAGAGTCGGCAACCCCCCCAGAGCCGTAATTGCTGTGAGTTGTACATCGAGGCAGGCCCTGGTCCCCCACACACCTAACCCATGAGCAGCTCCTTCACTTCCCTGCCACTGCAGCCCTGTGAGCCCCGTGGGCCTTTGCTGCCCTTCCCATTCTGTTGGCTGCAGTCCTGCTGGGTGGCTGGGATGGGATCCTGGGGTGCGGTGCTGCAGGAATGCTGCTCGTTGGGTGCGTGGAGACGTGCAGGCCCTGTCCCATCCCACACTGCTCCTTCCCCATCCCATCCTGCTGCTCCACCTCCCACCAAAAGGCAGAAGACACCTGGGCTGTGCTCCGTGTCCCCACTATCCTCACCCTTCCCTGAGATGCCACCCCTGTCTGGCTGTGGTCACAATCCCATTGGGAAGGGGAGTCATAGAAATAGGGGGGTTGGAAAAGACTTATGAGAGTCTAACCCCCCACCCCCACCATGCCTACCGACCACATTCCCCATGCCACATCCCCACAGTCCTTGAACACCCCCAGGGACAGTGACCTCCCCCCCCCCCGGGCAGCTCTGCCAGTGTCCAACTGCTCTTTGGAGAAGAAATCCTTCTCAATATCCAACCTGAACCTTTCCTAATATCCAACCCGACATGTTCCTCATTGTGCCCCAGCTCCCAGGCTCCTGCTGCCAGCCTGAGATCCTTGGAGCTGAGTTCCTGTTTCCATCCCTACGGCAGCAAAGCAGCCAGCTCAGCACACTGGTGGCACAAAGACTCGTCCTGCCGCTGTGCTGGGGAAGCGTCAGCAGCTGCTCCAGGAACGCAGGCATGCACGGCCAGGCAGGTCTGGGCAACAGCACAACAGGAAGCTGTGCAGGGTGCAGCAGCGCTGGCAAGCCACAGCCTGCATGCACCGGGCGCCTGCGGCCTGATCCCAGCAGTGCCCATCCTACGTGGGACCCCGAGTGCTGCGCTTTGCTCGTGGCCTTGGCTGCTCTGGCGAGCCCTGCTGCAGCCCCGTGCCGGTCCCACCGAATTAGGGCCCTTCCCACTGACGCGTGGGATCTCCATTTTGCTCCCCCCGTGCACCCAACGCTCTGCAGCACCTCTGCCATGTGCCACCGTCCTCCGGTGCCAACCAGCGCCGCCAAACAGCGCCAGGAGCTGCGGGGGGGCTGCGCCCTCGGGGTGAGCGGGGATGGGGGGGGGTTAGGGAGCTCCGTGCATCGCAGGGCACCGACAGAGCCACGGACTGCAGCTCCCGGCAGAACCCGCAGAACCTCCCCAGAACCCTTTGTTCCCGGCCCAGCAGCGCGGGCTGCAGCGTGGAAACCCCTTTGTTTTCCACCCGCTCGGGGTTTTCCTTTGCAAAAGAGCAGAAATTCCACTCGTGGGTGGCTCGGTTCGGCCCGACCCGATCCCGCCGGGGGGGGGGGGTGGTCCCTCCCTCCGCTGGGGCCGAGGCTGCGGGGCGGGCGCTGAGCCCACGCGTGACCGCGGCCGCGGGGCGATGCCGGGAGCGCGGGCGGAGGAACGAGCCGGGGCCGGAGCGGGCGGCACCAAGCGCGGAGCGGGGCAGGTCCGCACCGGGGGGCACGGCAGCGCGGGGCGGAGGGAAGGAGGGGGAGGGGATCGCGGATTGGAGGCGGCACCGCGCAGGGCCCGGCCCGGCCCCGAGCGTAGGGAGCGCCGCGGTCACGCGCGGGGCGGGGGATGCGCAGCGAGCACACGGAGCGCACGGAGAGAGCCGGGCCCGGAGCGCAGCGTTGGGGGCAGGTAGGGGCGGCCCGGGGGGGCGGTGTGGGGAACGGCTCGGTTCGACCCGGCCCGGGGGGGCGGTGCGGCAGCGCGGAGCCGAAGCGCAATGCGGCGCGGCCCGGCCCCATCCCGGCTCTGTCGCAGCCCCATCCGGACCATCTCGACCTCATCCGGACCCCATCCCGTGTCCATCCGCCGAAATCGCGTCGCGCCCCCCCCTCCCCCTCCCGAGCCTGCAGCCCCAGCGCTGCTCCCCGGTGGGATGATGCCGTAGAACGGCCCCAGCCCTGGGCCCCCCTCTAGCCCCCCACGGTCAGGTGTGGTCGTAGAGCTTCGCAGGGGGGAACCCACCCACCATGAGGGCATCCGGCCCCGAAGGGGCGCCGCGGGGAGTGCTGGGTGTCGTTGGACCCGCCCGGGTTATGGCTGGGAGCTGCAGCCGCCCCTCTCTGTGCCCCCCAGGGATGCGGGCGCCGTGAGCCGGGCATTGTGCGCCCATGACGGACCTGGCATCGCCCGCGGGCGAGAACAGCTTCGCCTTTCCCGGCGGCGGTGAGGAGGGCTTTGGGGATGAGAAGGCGTTGGTGATCCACAGCCAGGCGGAGGAGGAGGCGGCGGGGAAGGAGTTCAAGTGCATCCTGTGCGGGGAGTGCTTCGGCCAGCAGCCCAGCCTCGCCCGGCACCAGAAGCACCACGCCGGGGAGCGCGCCTTCATCTGCGCCGAGTGCGGCAAGGCCTTCAGCCTCAAGCACAACCTCATCATCCACCAGCGCATCCACACCGGGGAGCGGCCCTACCAGTGCGACGTCTGCCAGAAGAGCTTCAGCCTGAAGCAGAACCTGCTCACCCACCAGCGCATCCACAGCGGCGAGAAGCCCTTCTCCTGCGGGAGCTGCGGGAAGCGCTTCCGCGAGCAGCGCTTCCTCCTCAACCACCAACGCACCCACGCCGAGGACCAACCCGGGGCCACCAGCGCCGCCGCCTGCAGCCGCTCGCCGGGCTCGGAGCCGCATGAGGAAGCCGGTGGTCCCACGGCAGCAGGTGGTCCCTTCTCCTGCACCCGCTGTGGGAAGGGCTTCAGCTGCCGGAGCAGCCTGGCCGCACACCAGCGCACCCACAGCGGCGAGCGGCCCTTCGCCTGCTCCGAGTGCGGGAAGAGCTTCAGCCAGAAGGGCTCCCTGAAGCTCCACCAGCGCACCCACAGGGCCGAGAACGCCCTCACGTGAGCCCCCGCGCCCCGGGCCCCCCGCCCACGGCTGCCCGCAGAGCTCTCCGTGCCCTGAGCCCCCCCAGCATTGCTCTGTGGCTCCAAGCGCTGCATGGGGGCTCGGGGCCGCTGGGCATCTCAGTGGGTGCCGTCCCCTCGGTGCTGTTGTGACGGCGTGGTCAGTGCCAGCTCAGCCTGAGCACCCCCAGGCACCCACGGTGCTTCCTCCATGGAGCTTCTCTCCTGATCACCACGAGGTCTCTCCCATCAGCTGTCCCTGCTCCTCACCTCAGGCGCTCCCGGGCTGCTGGGCGTCTGTTGGGTTTCTGCCACCCCCCAGGGCACTGGGAGGAGCTGAGCGAGGCGGCCGCCTCTGGAAATGACAGAGTTCCCCGGGGGGTTTCCTCCCCTCCACTCCCAGCACCTCAGCACTGCAGCTGGGTGCACACCGGGGCCACAGGTGGAACCCCTGAGTGAGGAGCAGCGGGGGGATTTCCCCACAGCACTGCTGTGTGCACCCCATGCCTCCCGTGCCCCCCGTGTTCCCCATTCCCCCTGTACACCCCATCCCCCATCCAGGCTGGTGCTGCTGCAGCGTTGCAGAGAGCCCTGAAACAGAGAAATCATGCAAAATTAAAACTGCAAAGCCCACAGGTGCAGACTGCTTCCCAGGGGCAGCGGCAGCTCCAGGCTGGAGGAGGGACTGCGGCGAGGCGGGGGCTGCGGCCGGAGCAGCAGAGAGCCCGACCTGGGCGGTGCAGCCAGGGATGGATGCGTGGTGATGGGAGCACTGTGGTGCTCAGCCATGGCCGGGAGAAGCGAGGGTTGGAGTGGGACTTCTCTGCCCCTTGTCCCACTCTGCGGTCCCCAAGCACCGTGGAAGGGGAAGAGGTGGCACCGCAGCCCCGCGGCACGTGGGATGGTGCAAATCCCGCATCACCTCTGTGCCCGCCGCTCCGCGTGAGCCGCAGCGTTCTGGGATCGCTCCTGGGTGCCACTGCGGGACAGAGGCCGGCATCCGCGGGGCTTCCATCCGTGCGCGCCGTCCTGCACTCTGAACCGGGACGGCGCTCGGTGAGCCGGGATGAGGCGAACTCACGGCTGCAACCAGGCTGCGCTCCCCTCGCCCGCACCGCTCCTGCCCCGCCGCTTGCAGGGGAAAATCAGCTTTCCCTGCCGACGCTTCCCGCTGCCGACGCTGCTCACACCGCACCGCGCTCCCCGCGGGGTGATGCGGTGCGTCGGGACGCGGCTGCGGGGGGAGCTGACACCCGGCCCGGCCGCAGCTCCCGGTGACGGCTCCTCCCGACCCCCGAGGGAGCTGCTCCTCCTCCCCCCGTCCCGCCGCTCCCCACCTCGTGCCCGCGGCCCCGCGCACGGCGAAGCCCCTCGCAAACACCCGCGCCGAGCAATCCCCGCCCCGCGTCCGCCCGCGTGTCCCCCTGCCGCTGTCTGTGTGGAAATGCAGGCACTGCCGATGTGTATTAATTAAATTAATGAACGCCTGGAAAACGCCGCGTCTCCGTCTTGCTAAGATCTCGGGGAGGGTCGCGCGACTCGGCCGGCTCCGACACCGGGATGAGCGACACACGCCACGGAGCCCCCCGCCGTCTCCAGAGCCGGGCCGGTGCCCAGGAGCTGCCGTCCCCCCTCGGTCTGCGCCCGTCCCGGACGAGGAGAGCCGGGGCCGCTTCCGCCTCCGTCGGGTTCCGTCGGCTTCGGCTCGTCGCCAGGAAGGGTGGCAGAAGGAACGCGCTCGGTGCTCCAGAGGGCGTTCGCGACCCGCGCGCTGTGCGGAGCTCCGCAGGCAGCGCTGAGCACGGGGGGGACGCGCAGCCCCGTCGGGTGGAGCCGCTGCTCTGCGCCCGCCCGGCCCGGACACGCGCGGGCTCTGCGGTGCCGCTGCGACCTCCGAGCTCCCGAAGGGGCGACGGGCAGCGCCGGGCTCAGCCGGAGCCGGAGCGCAGCAGCCGGAGATCGCGGTTTGCTCCGGAGCGTCTCGTTTGCAGCCCGCAGCTCGCACGCCGGTTTCTTTCAGCCCTCTGCAGTGTCAGCAGCCCCCGATCTCTGAGGTTCCGGCATCGTCGTCGCTCGGTGGCCTGAGCTGCCCGTGACACTGTGTCCTGATAGTCCGACTATTCACATTACCGATGTCCCTGTGTCAGCAGCCCATGTGATCTGAAGTCCCAATGTCCCAAAATCCCTGTGTCCCCATGTCCCTGACACCCACTGTCCCACTGTCCCAATGTCCACATGTCC